AAAAAAAAAACACCCTTATTCCATTTTGGGCTGGTGAGATGGCTCAGTACCTATTTAGAACAAGCTTAGCAGAGCACAGGGACCACGGTTCGATCCCCAGCACCACATGCCAGCCAGCCCCGCCCCCTGGTGGGCTCAGCTGGCCACACACAGACACACACAATAAATAAAAATAAATAAATAAAGTAACGTGTTTTCTTTCAAGTGCTGGGGCAAGCACTGCTGGTGAACCTTTCAGAGCTGTGAGTACTCACAGACGGTGCTACCGACAAGTACGCCGGAAGTTCGCCGCCACGAATTCTACAGTCTGGGTGGGTCACAGTTTGTCTACCCTCTCATGACTGGAGAAGGCACCTTGGTTGTTTCCACATTTGGCAATTGAGAATAAAATTGTGGTAGCAAGGGGTAGGGTGCAGGCCTGTAATCCCAGCACGCAGGAGGCTGAGGCAGGAGGATCTTGGAGAGTTTGAGACCAGCCTGGGCAACAAAGTGAGTTCAAGGCCAGCATATACTATGACAATGAGACACTGTCTCAAAAAAAAAAAAAAAAAAAATCAAATAAGTGCTGTAGATAGTCTTGTGCCTGTTATTTGGGCACATTCAAATGACTTCTGAACGTTATTTTTAACTTTTCTGAGCTGTTTGTGTCTTTCACAAGAAGGGGAAGTTTAAAAAGCCAGTCTGCAGAGGGGCGGCGAGGACGGACACACTGCACAGGGAAACAGTAATTGTAGACTGGCTCTAGGATACACTGTGAGTCTTCCGGCTTTTCTACACGCTTAAAGGTTTTTGTAATGTAGTGTTGGGGATAAAGTTAAAAAATAAACAAAGACGCCCCTGGAGCTCACGTTGCCTTTGCCTAACCCACAGCAGGCCGTGCAGAGGGTAACTGAGGAGGCCCGCACGCCCGACCCGGCTGTCTTTCAGTCGAGAGTAAGTGTCGCAGGCACTTCCGCCCTACTTTCTTTGGGCAGGGTGGGGTCAAGGCGTGCCGCGGTGCCGGTGTCGCAATCAAATGCCGGGCTCAGTAGTTTACCCAGTTTCCTGCCTGGAGAACCCCAAGGAACAGGGCTGTGCTCACAGTCGCCAGGAGAGGGCGCCTGGGAGGCAAGCCTATTGGCAAAGCGAAGGCCCCAGGTTTTCCTGCCTGGTTTTTTGTTGGATTTTTCATAACAAAGCAAAATTGAGAGGCAGAGCGGGCCTCGCTCCGCGTTGGACCAGGGTCCTGGAGCTGTGGTGCGCTGCCGGTGCCTCAGTGGCTCTCAGCACCTGCTGCTCGGTGGCCTGTGCTGACGCAGGAGTCCACTGCTGCTCCTTGTCGGAGACCTGCTCTGTCCCTGTGCATCCCACCAGACTGTCGGGTCCTAGCCAGAGGTCCGGGACTTGAAGAGCAACCCCCGACCCCCGCTGCTCAGGGAGAGAACGGGCAGCACCTCACTTCTCTCCTCAAAAACAGGAGTCTTGTTTTGTTTTGTTTTGTTTTCTGAGACAGGGCCTCCCTCTGCTGTTCAGGTCTGGGGCTCGCTTTGTAGTCCAGGCTGGTCTCAGGCTCGCAAGGATCCTCCTGCCTCAGCCTCCCCAGTGCTGGGAACAGGCGTGTGCGACCACACCCTGCTGAAAGCAGGAGTCTTAGACATCGCCCTGGCTGCCGATTACCTGGCCTGTTTGGCCCAGGCACCCGTGCTCCTACGCAGTCTATCCAGGGTAATCTTACTAGGCCCTCCTCTGCATGTCCCCTAAATACATTGCTGCCCTAACCGCCAGGACGCCAGCATGCGACCTTACAGGAAAATGAGGCCATCACAGACATCCTGACCATGTCCTAGGCTGAGACTGGGGGTCCCTGAGACTAAAATAAGGACCCTCACCCACCACTTGTCACAGGTTCTCCGACTTCCGTTGTGGAAAAATAAATTTTCAGGACAAATAAGGAAGACACTCTGGAAGGGTTCACTTGGGTTTTAGGACCAGCTCCAGACAGAAATGAAGCAAGCATAAGAAACATATTTCTCTTGAGGGCTGGAGGAGCCCTGGAAAAGTGCCCTCCAAAGAGTACTGGCCTAGTCCTCAGGTATGGGTTTTAAAAACAAAGAAAGAAAGCAAGCCAGGCAGCCAGCCAGCCCAAGTAAAGCGGGGGGTGGTGGTGTACGACTGTAATACCAGCACTGTGATGCTAGAGGTGGAGGCAGGAGAATCCCTGTGAGTTCAAGACCAGCCTGGGGCTACAAAAGGGAGCACAAGGCCAGCTCAAACTGCATAGCGAGACCCTGTCTCAAAAGACATCCTAAAATGTAATTTGAACATTCTTTGGGTTCACTCAACCTGCTCCTTTATCTTACTTTCTCCATGAAGCCAATTGATGGACTTGTAGCGTTTCTAATGAATTTTTCACTGTGAAGTTTTGGTATAAAAAAAGCCTAGGGCTGGCAAGATAGCTCAGTGGATTAAGCACCTGCTTTGGCAAGCGCAGGGACCTGGTGGGCACCACAGGTGGCGCCGGCCCCACCCCACGGCTGAGCTGGCCAACAAGACCAGGCATGGGGGAGCGTGCCTGTAATCCCAGCTCCGGGGAGGCTGAAAACAGGAGGATCACTACGGGTCTGAGCTGCGTAGTGAGACCCTGTACCAAATACATAAAATAAATAAATAAATATTAATTTAAGAAAAGAACCTAAATTTAACCAGAGGATGTTGATACACGCTGCCTTGAGTAACTTTCTGTGCTTCCTGTAGGTTGCAGTAGTGTTTTTTTTCTTGGAAAGGTTTATTTAGCTCACAGTTTGTGGAGGTTTCAGTCCATTCTTGGCTGGCTCCAAGGCAGACTGGCACACGGCAGAGGACAGCAGTTCATGGGGCGGAGACACCTGCCACTGGCCTCAGCCCAGGCAGGGCCTCACCAGGAGCACCCCCAGGTGCCTCCCTGCACCTGCCCACAGCAACCGCAGCAACATGCAAGCGTCTGGCGACCTCAGCCTTCAAAAGCAGCGCGGCTCTGCTGGTTTCCTCTGCAAGGCAGCAAAGCTCCAGCAGCCCTTAGCAGTGGCGGAGAAAATGCACTGGTGACACACGGCGGAGCTGCCCTTCCAGGCAGACTCAGAAAGCGAGCAGTGGGCCTGTCCCTGAAGCGCAGGAGGGCATGCTGGAGCCCGGCGGGCGGCAGGGCCCTCAGGGTGGGCATCCCTACGGGTGGATTCCTGCAGCTCCCAGGAGGTTGTGAAATACACAGCTACACTTTGTGGAAGCTACAGTGGCCCCTAGCGGAGTCTGGAGAGTAGCGGCAGACGCTGGGCTCTGAAGGGTTCCAACACTTCCTAGCAAAGGATGCGGACAGGGCTGTGTCTGTGCTTAGGTTCTCCAGTCAGAAGATGTGGGTGGTAAAAATTCTGGCTGTCATGAGAATCAAGCTGGTTAATTTATTTTCATATTTTTTTTTCAGGTTGGTTATTTAAAAAAAGAATTTTTTTCTTCAGTACTGGGGATTGAACCAGGGCCTTCACACTGAGCCACACCCCCAGCCCACCTTTTTCTGTTTTTGTTTTGTTTTTGACACAAGGTATTGCTAAACTGCCCAGGTTGCGCTTGAACTAAAGTCTTCCTGCCTCGGCCTCCCCGAGCGCTGGGACTGCTGGTGTGCACCACCAGCTGCGCGGTTAACTGAGAACTGTTGTTAGGAGTGGTTCTTGGGGCCAAGGGGCACCTGGGTCCATCCTGGGTGCCATTTCCCTCTAGGATGGTCCCTTGGGGGCCCTGCCTCCCCCATGTCTGACCTTCCCAGAGCCCAGAGAGACAGAAACACAAGGGAAAGGCTCCCTGTGCCCAGCGCGCTGTGGGCAATGAAGGTTGGAGGGCACTTGTAGACCAAGGGGTGCCTCTTTTTTAAAAGAAAGGAGGCAAAAAAGAAGGAAAAGAAGAGAGGAGACACTTCGAGGTGGCCACACTTTATTCATAAACTGAGGGTATCGTTTGCATTATCGACTTCTTGTATTAAACTGAGCAAAATAATCCTCTGTGGGTGAATTTGCACAGATCGCATTCATATATTTTTTCCTAATAACAAAAGGAGAAAAACAACAGAAAGATTAGCAAACACACGTGCTTCCTAAATAAATATTTTCCTCTTTTCAAAGGAAAAGCCAGCACCCCTCTGGGTCCCGCGCTGCCCCTGCGTGCCCCTCCCCCGCCACGCCACGCCTGCCCCGCTCACTGCAGGCGCTGCTCCTCCGCCAGGCGCAGGTTGCTGCAGTCCAGGGCCCTGCGCTGCTCGCGCCGCTGCCGCTGCTGCCGCCGCTCACCCAGCACCTCCTCACGAGCCCTCTGCACCCGCCGCCGGTCGCAGTCCAGGTCCCGCTGGCGCGCTTCTTCCTGTAGCCGCTGCGTGGACAGAGGGACTTCACACCAAGGGCGGCTTGGGGTGGGGGTGGGGTCCCAGGAGGAAACGGGGGTGGGGGGAGGTCCTGATGCTACCAGCCCAGAAACCCCTGGAGACCCTGTCCTCGCCTGGGTCCCCCTGCCTCCCTCCACCAGCAGTAGATTTTGACCCCACCGGGGGTCGACACGCTTCCTGTTTCCTGGGACAGAGCTGCACCGCTGGCCTAGATGTTTTTCCGGACTTAGTGGACACGTGAGGGATAAGGCTCTAGTTCCCTTAAAAAGCTGCTCTGAGCGGCTTCTTCCACATTCAGGCAAACCCAGCCCTACCCAGTGCAGCCAGCGCGGCACCCTCCCCAGGCCCCAGCGCAGTGACTTTGTCTCCTCACCTCCCGCCCTCATTGGGCACCTTCCCACCTGTTGCTCGGGCCCAACCTGTGTCTGTACCTCCTCTCCTCCTTCCACTCGCCACACCCAACCCCTGAACCAATCTGCTCAGCACCACACGACAGGCCCAGAGCCCTGCCGCGTCGCTGCAGCCTCCCCTCCACCAACGTCCACTCCTTCCCCATCCCCCTAGCTGTCCCTGCAATCCAGGGGGCCTGCTGGACCTCAGGGGGCCTGCTGGACCTCAGTGAGCCTGCAGGTCTCTGTTCAAAGCCCTCCAGAGCTGCCCCCCTGGGGTCATAGGAAAAGCCAGGCTTCCCTGGAGCCATCCAGGACCTCAGGACTCCTCCTCTGAGTCTGGGCACCTGCCCTTTCCCCTAGTTCCTGCAGCTCCCTCTCCTCTGGACAGACCAAACAGGTTCCTGCCTCATGCCTATTGCTGTATGAGGCAAGTAGCAGGGTGGGAGGCTGGGCTAGGAGGAGAGAGGGCCAGGCACCAGCTTCTCCTGGATCTGCTGCTTCTGGGCCAGGCGGATGCCCTCCAGCTGCTCCTGGCTCATGCCCTTCCAGCGGTCAGGGACCACACGGTGTGGCCCCAAGGAGCTGGCTGCCTGCTGCGGGTTCTCAGAGAGCAGGTTGCCCCGCAGCAAGTTGGAGATCTCCGCCATGTTGTCTTCCTGCTCTTGTCTTTTCTCTTGTTTTCTCCTTTCCGCTGACTCAACAGCCTGTGCAGGGGAAGCCATTAAGGAGGACACCTGGGGTGACTCTGCAGGGACTCTGGAGCACAGGATGCCAACCCCCAGCAGGCCCTGACTGGAGGGTTGGGCTGGGTGGGCCAGGTGGGGCTAGCCCCGGACCTCCGGGGTACTGCTGGGTGAGAAGAATGGGCCTGAGGTCACTGCCTGCGGGTGTGTGTGTCAGGGTATGGACCCCTGAGCCCACCTGCGACAGGGCTCTGTGTCCCTCCTAAATTCTAGGGACCCAGGGACATCCTTGGGCTACAGAGAGTAAGTCACTCCAACATCCACTTGTGCTAAAGGCAAAGGCTGACAGACATAGGTGTAGAAGTATTGCAGGTAGTTAAGGCAGAGACTGACCCAGAGTTGGAAACACCCCAGGCCCAAGACTGAGCCAGAGCAGAGGCGAGGCACAGCAGGCCTGGGCTGAAGGGCAGAGCGGATCGAAATGAGGGCCCAAGACGGGGACAGGATGGCGAGGCCTGCAAAGCTCCCCTAGACAGACTGCAGCTCAGAGATGGGCTGTGACCCATGCCCTGGCGCACCCTACCTTCACTCCTGCCCCTTCAGAAACGCCTTCTTTCAGCGCTTCCCACCTTGCTCGTACCCATTTTCTTGTTGGATCAATGTTAGCCGGGGGTCTGTGCTTGCAATCCTGCACCCTTACTACATCGACCCCAGGTCACCTGTGATGTCACTGTATAAACCCCTAGACAAAGAGCCTCACCACAACCCACTTCCGGGACCCCTCCTGTCTCTCCCAGGCTTGCGCTCAATAAACCTTCCCCACTCTTCACCTCCTTTGTCTTTGACCCCCTTCTTCAATGTCCTGAGATAGGAGCTCAGCACATCTAACTGGTTGGGAGGTGCTGCCCTGTAACAGAAGAACCTTACCTTCAAATGATAAAAGCCTGTTATGACAAGCCCACAGCCAACATCAGACCAAATGAGGAAAAACTGAACATATTCCTCCTAAAATCAGGACGAAGACAAGGGTGCCCACTGTCACCATGCCTGTTCAATATGGCCCTCGGAATATGAGCAAGAGCCATCAGGAATAAGAAGCATGTGAGTAGGAAAGTCTTATTTATTTTCAAAAACTCTTATTTGCTACAGGGTCTCCCTAGCAGCTCAAACTCACAGAGATCCTCCTGTCTCAGCCTCCCCAGCGCTGGGATTACAGATGTGCACCACCATGTCCAGCACCCATGGTCGGCTTGGCAATGGGGCCAGTATGGCATGCAGTACCAGGCTTTGAGCCTGGGTCCTTGAGCTTGCCAGGCAGGCGCTTAGACCACTGAGCTATCTCCCTGGCCCCCAGAAAGTCTTTTTGTTCAGTTAAATTGTCCTCATTTGCAGATGCTAGGACCCAGAGAAGATCCCAAAAGCCCCACCAAGAGACTCTTAGAACTAATAAATTCAGAGAAGCAGCAGGACACAAAATCAGCACACAAAAATCAAGAGTCCTGTGCACCTGCATTGAGCTTGCCGGGAAAGAAATCAGGAAAACAATTTCACTCACAGTAGCTCCAGAAAATATGAAACACCTAGGAATCAACCTGAGCAAGGAGGTGAAAGTGGCCATGGTGCCCTGAATTCAGAGAGATCGAAGGGGACATCAGAAAGGGGGAAGGCATCCCCTGTTCTGGACAGGGAGAACAGATTAGATTTAATGCAATTCCAATAAAAATACAAATAGCATTTTTCACAAAACTAGGAAAAAATGCTAAAATTTACATGCAACTTGGAGAGGCCCAGAGCAGACTCAGCCATCCCAAACAACAAGAGCACAGCAGCAGTCACCACAGTCCCAGACTTCTAGGTGCTGTACAAAGCTACAGTGATAAAAACAGTATGGCACTGACACACAGACACGTTCGCCAATGGACTAAATGGAGGATGCAAAGCCAGCTCCAGGCCCCCCAGCTACC